GCAGCCAGAAGATAATGGGATTGGGCACGATAGCGTGTCTGCAAAGAGACAGTCGATATATTAACAATAACAAAGCTCAACAGGCAGACGCCGGTATATAATAAATAAATCGAGATGGCGCCGCAGCGGGGGTTATCGCGAGAAATGTAACCGTTGTAACAAATAATGTACGCCTCGGGAGCCGAACGGAGCCAGGAGATTATCAGCCAGTAATTTATTTTCCGTCCCCTTCGCGCCCGGCTGCTCTCTTCTCCAGTCCCTTCTCTCACTCTTTCTCCCCTTGCTTGCCTTCCCACCGTTTGTTTGTCCACGCTGGACCTTACAAGCGGTGTTTATTAATTATGCGATGCCGCTGACGCCACTCATCGTACTATCCTCTTCTATCAATATCTAATTGAATTTAATCGTTCATCAATCATTGCCAAATAATGTCGAACAACCCCTAGTCGAAAAAGAAGTAATATTAGAAAAAAAAGGCAGAAAAGCAGTACTAAATTGTGTGCAGCTTCATAGAATTATAATGAATATCTTTAGATGTTTGTTCCAGTATAGTGTGAAATTTACAGCTTATTAAATTGAATATTTGCTTGTGAGACATTAGAATCCTCTATGGTACGAACAGTCGTCTCACCGAGCGGAGATTCCTGTGAGAATCAGAATCTTATTTACGGCTGTTAACTCGATTACCGTTCGTCTGTGACGAATCTTTCATGTACTGGCCGAATAACAGATAACAATGCACCTTTTTTTTCTCACCAATGCGATTATGTTATACCAAAATTAAATTCACGTGTCTTGTTGCCTTTAATTAAGAGTTGTTTTATTGCGAGCAACATTATATAGATATATCTGGAATATTAAAAAAAGAAATGAATCACTTTTTCTCGGTGTTGCCCTTTTTCTATTTGATCTTCAGATCGGTAAGAGATGTACGATAGAAGAGTCTTAAATAGTGCAATACAAATTCTAATATTTGCTATTATATAATGTTATTATAAACAATCCGTTGTGTGCACGAATAGAAATACGTGCGATAGCGTTAAACATGATACTGAAAGGCTGCGAAGAGGGACGCCTTGAAAGAAAGAGAGAGAGAGTGTATCTAATATAAGCTCACCTTGAAGGTATATACGTAGCACGTCGGGGACTCCGTGAATCGTGCATCGTGTATTAGCCACCAGCTCCGGCATAAGAGTACGTATTTGATTCATGCTAACGTCGGCCCAGCAGAGCACCGGGAAACCGCGAAAATCTCGACCGGACAGCGTAACCAGACGATTGTGCGACGCGATCAGTTCCTCCAACGACGGTAGCCACGTCTAAATCACGATTGTACAATTGGTACATGATTATGTCGCACGTCGAACAAAGAAAGAAAAAAGGAAAGCAAAAAGAAAATTCGGAGCGAACTTTTATATTTACCTCCGATGTATCTTCGAGGGTGGTGAGTTGATTGTGCGAGATGTCGAGCACTCGTAACCCGTCGAGACCACGCAAATCGCGCGGTCCAATCGTGGGGCCCAGCGCGTTGTGGCTAAGATTGAGCCTCTGCAGCTCTTTCATCCCTAGGAACAGAGAGCCGTCTAGACTACGCAGCTCATTATGTTGAAGGCGGAGATCTTGGATAGTACTGCCTGCAATCTCCTCGCCCTCCTCTTCCACCAAATTCTGCGGACATCAAGAATAGATTTCGACCGATCGTCAGATCAGAGAACGTAAACAGTCTCGATGATGACGTTACGTTGATACGTAAAGTATCGGATGACGTAGATACCTACCT